ACGATTAGTCGACGCGTTGACAAAAACCACGAATTCCATCGTCGACTATTGTCGCCAGACGTGTTTTTTCCAGTGAGGTGAGGCATCTTACTTCATTACGATCTCTGCCTAGAGTCAAACTTGCTCGATAGCGTCTCTGCTGAGCGGTAGGGTATTCAAACATGGCACCGGCTTCCCATACTGCAGCTACGAGTACGCGCTTAAAGACCTCCAAAGTTGGGAGCACTTTCGCCTAGAAAAGGCGATGTTATTTGTTTTTTGGGGGAGGCGATTTTGCCTTTTATTGACAGTACAGAGTGAAGAGTGGGGAGATGGGGGGCAGAGACATGCAGCACATGGTTGGGGCCAGACTTGAACCTGCGACCGCTGTGGGGACTGTGGACCCCATACATGGGGCGTGCTAACCCACTCGGCCATCAGTGCACCCTGAAAATGTTAGGTTTAAGAAAAAATTCAGAATTATCGGATTAGTCGACTAATCATTTCAATAGTGGATGACTAGTCAACTATTAAAATAGTCGTTAGTTACAGCCCTAATACAAAACGGGATGACCACTTCAAACAAACTGGAGCACGTGAGAAAACAAACGTAACCTTGGGTCCTCTCAGTGGAGGTCTACAGCTAGACTGTCTTGAGAGTCAGCAGTCCCAGGCAAGCGTCAGAGAAACATCATCATCCAGCAACATACCTTTCCTGGCCTTGAAAGTGTTTGTCTATTGCAGCTGTACGCACTGAAAACTATAACAGCTTGTTCTCCGAGACGAGTGAGAAGAACACAAACATCCACAAGCCACGCCACATTACTCAAAATGCCTCCCATGCAGTTGAAAACCTCGGTATAAGTTCATATTTGTCACACCTACACTATGATTCATGGTTATTGATCTTGACTGTGCGAAACAAGCGGAGCGCGGAAGAAAAGGTTCACCCTTTGTTTGTCAGGGATGTGTGAACCAGGCCAAAGCAGCAGGGTGCCTCCTTTCATCTCCACCTTATCGCTCTCTTTTCCACCAACGCCAACAAGGCCTCCATCACCCTTCAGTCTACTTCTCTCACCTCTCTCCTGTCTCTTTGAGTTTCCCTCCATTATCACTTTGTCTTTCTTTCTTCTCCTTTCTTCCTCTTTCTGTGTCTCTCCCTGCCCTCTCCCTTGTTCTTCGCCTGTTGCTTCCTTCCTTCGCTGCCTTTCTTCATCCGACAAACTCTTCTTCTGTGTTCTTTAATTTCCTGTGCATGAAAGATTCATCTGGGCGCTTAAATAATAAATAAGGAGGCGCAGTTGAAAAGTGCAGAAAGCACCCTCGACTATAGAAGCAAGAACCCAAAAGACAAGGGAGACTAATATTCCTGCTCTGATCCGTCTCCTCTTCCCCCATCGCTCCTCTCTATTAATCTTTCTTCCCCCTGTCACTTTGTCTCCTTCTTCTTGTCCCAGAGCGGCCTGAGTGAGACCATCTGGATAAAGACTAGGTGCAGAATCACAGGAGATGGCATGGGCTCTTAGTTATCTACAGTGTACTGACTCAGTGAGTCACTCAGTCAGGCGGCCGTGATGCTGTCACGCTGACAGTTTGCTTTGGCATGAAACCTTGTGATACTGAAGTTTACTTTGTACTCACAGCTCAGAAGAAGAAGAGCTGAACTGTGGCGTGACCTCAAAACCACTCGTTTTCCTTTTGAGACCTTCACCCACCTGATCAGAGAAGTGAGGGGTGGTATTTTTGTGAAGGAAGCTGGATCACATGGGTGCAAGGCAATGAAACCGCAGAATACTTCTACAGGAAAAACTGAAAGTAAAGTTATGATGATGACGTGATCTAAAACGGCAAGGGCATGAGTTTGGTATATGCACATGAACAGTAGAGGGTGAGTGTAAAGCAGGAAAAACAACGGCAGACATCTTCAAGGACAAGCTGATAGACCAAATACAGGTCATTGCCAGCGCACAGAAAGAAACATGCGAGTCACAGTAACTGTAGATAAGTGTCGACAGATACAATTGATTCTATTAGTCAAGAGCCACGTTCAAAATGGGATCGGAAAATCTGAATCCACGGTTTATATGGGTGCAAAATCAAATAATCCCATCATGATGTGTGTATAAATGCACCAAGCTTTGTTCAGATTAGAAGCATTTAAACATGCGCAGAGTTGTCTAGTTTCGCTAAAACAGAAGAAAAGTCGTATTCAAGCTTGTGCTGTTAACAAACCAACAAATGCTGTAGTGGCTCACTTCATCCGAGCCGGGATTTTTCCTTCTGTTAAATGTTGTCACTAGGTGGCGCCCTTGCTTACTTATTTTTTTGTTCTGTCGAAGATTGCGCTGTGCGTGCAGATGTGACATCATTACGCTGTTTGTATGCCTCGTTATGTTAGTGGAGGAGCAGACACAGCATCAGAGTGTCAATAATGAAACCTCCTGTACTGACCTCAATAAGGCTAAAGAGAGAAGACCGAGTCAGGTAAGAGAGTCACGATCAGAATAAGTGTTTACATGGACACGGTTCGGAATAATGATCTGCATAAACCACCGCCCTCGATCGGAATACAATTTCTTTTCGATTGAGCCGAATTGGATCAGAATTTTCCATTTGACATATTTACATTCGGGCTGTAAAGTCCTAGTCAACCTGTCGATTTATTGATCGATACATGCTGAGGCGACCAAAATTCTGATTGGTGAACTCGATTTTTTGTGATGTACGAAGTGCCAGTGGGGGTTTCACAGGAAACAGCCTGTCTCAGAACATCCTCCTTGTTTTCACCATTTTGGATTCACCCAACCCACCGGAGACCGACTGGAGACAGGAAGATTGAAGAGCGTCTACGTGAATCAACGTCCGGTGGTTTGCTGAATATTTTCCCTGAATTGCCTTTTGTATTTAATATTGCCTTCTTGTGCTGATATTAGTATATTTTCACTCCACCAAGCCATGTCATCCCCCACCAGAGGGGTTTGACGTCAGAGTCGGACCCTTCATTAGCCGATTTTCGGTCAAAAATTTCAGGTTTTTAGTCGACTAAGAATTTCTTCGGTTGATTACAGCTCTAGTTTACATGACTCTTTTATTTTAATCAGGACTTTATTCAATTTTTTTGTGCTCATGTAAACACAGTCAATGTGGAAACAAGTCTAGAGCTGTTACATCCAAGCACGGAAGAAAATGTCGGAAAAACTGGTCAGGGTCGGTGCTAATGGTGCTTCCTGTCCTCTAGTCACCAGTCACTTGTGCGAACTCAAGAGTTGGTGACCCTGGAACACCTAAAGGTGGTGGACCATTAAACATGGATACCCTCCCTCACGCTCTCTCTTCAGGTGTTGCTCACCTTACCATGTCTCGTCTTGCCTCCTCAGTTAGAGCTAAAAGCTTGCCTTCGCTCCGCTTTGGTGGTCTAACTCCTCTTAGCTTTAAATCTTTCAGCAGATGTGCTATTGAGTCTCCAACAAAGCCTCGAGTGTCCACTTACACCAGGTAAAGCCTCATGTACCATCCACTCACTCTGCACTTTGCCACCAGGTCAGCATATTTTGGTCTCTTCCTCTGGGATATTCTTAAGCAACCGATTTCGAAATCTCACAAGCAAACTAGTTTAAAGGTAAGAAAATGGACAGGATTTAACCACAACCCTTTGTAATTGTTGTTTCTAAACAGATTATCACCTTTTAAATAAAAATCTGAAACGTACATATCAGAATCAGAACCAGTCATCATCAGAACTACAAAGTAACCCCATTATGGCCTAGACTAAACTTTTTAAGCTACTAGAAAATAGTCACCTCTTGTCGGTCAACTTTAAAAAGCCAGAACATATCCCACAATCATTGTGTGATACTCCATAACAAAACTTTTTTATTTAATGAACAAATATGTCAACATGCTCCAGTGAAAGTTTGGACCTGAGTCTGTTAACAACAAGTCTGGTAGCTGGAAAAAAACCCTCTCAGCCAGTACAGATATTTCAAGCATCAGAAAGCAAAATTCAACCCGTTGTTTTGGTTTAACAAGCTATCCTGTTAACTTGTTGTTTCCAGCCAACGCAGCTGAAAGTCTCAAGTTAACAGGGTCATTTGGAAAACTCAGATTCCCCAGTGCTGCCCAGAAAAGTGTATTCCTGACTTTAGGGTGGAGCGCTGAAACAGCAGGTACAACTTTACTTCTAATAGCTGCAAACTTGATCCAATAACTCTAAACAAGAAATGCAATTGAGATTTTGTTTCAGTAACTCAGGAATCTACCGCCTCTTTGTCCTGCTGCTGCAACATTTAACAAAACCCCTTCACCTTCTCTTGTTTAGAGCTGAATCCCCTCTGTTTATGCTGCAACTATTTCAACATCACAATAAATAAAAACTCTGTCCGTGTTCAGTTCCCCCCTTTTTTGCCCTCGTGTGAGTTTTACTTCAAACTGAGCAAAGTGTTTCTCTGCATCATTTATTTATCAAGGTGAGTTTGCTTCAAATCATTTACTCCAGAAAGGCTGTTTGTAAACGCGTTCATTGACCTCCACACACAGACGATCCACACAGGTGTTTGGATGGTTCCAATGGGGCTTGAAACCTCTCAACAGAAAGTGTTTAATCTTTAAAAACACCAATTCTGGATGTCTTTTCAAACATATTATTTGCTAGCTTCTGTCTCCATCTGCACATAATAATGTTGGATGACATATTAAAACCACCTATTTAAATATTTAAAGGTTAACTTGATATGGAGGTCTGCATCTGTGTACAAATGAGCACAATGCAAGGAGATTTTAGCTGGTTTTGAACAGACTAAAAGTCTTAATGCTACATCTGTCTGACCTACAAAAACATACAAAACAGCAAAAGTTTGTCTTTTCTGTATTTTTAATGTCTGAAGCAGAGGTACAGGCAAGGGTAAAACCATCGACTGTTTATAGAATGGATGTGATCTGCCTCCGTGAGAACAGCACCCTCTGGTGACGGGCTGCAGTATAGGTCATAAATCCCGCCTCCTCCAGCAATCCTTATAGAGTTGTGGACTCATTCTTAAAAGTTATTAAAGGGTCCATGTTTTCTATGATTGACACTTCATACAGCCTGTGGGCGTACAAAGGTTGTGTAGTTCACCCGGGGATACGAAGTTTGAGCAGAGTGTCATCACAGTGACTATCCTGCTGAATGTGTACAACGCTACTGCGCAGGTGGTGGTTCCTGGAAGTGGAGAAAAATCCTGGAAATACAAAGAGCAATTCGGCTTCAAATTCGTATAATGACGGAAGGCGGAGCAGAGTTGCCCGTCGTATATACAGTCTATGGGTGAGCACGACCATCTCTGGTATTGTCCAAAGCAAGGTTTTCGACACGGTTTTGTATTGAATGACACTGGGTAAGATTGTAAGTTAAAAACAACACTGACAAAAAAAAAACTAGGAAATTACGAGTTCTTCTCTGCACCACAAATTCAAAGTCTTTAACAGGAGCGTTGACTTGGTTGATCTGCAGCCAATCGCCAAACTCAGCAAGCTAACACTGCAGCACAATACACACCAGCAAAAGCACGGGTAAGTGAGACTGTGAGCAAAGAAAGTGAACCTCATCAACAGAAACTCATTTTCACTCCTGCTTTTACGTTTTCTCGACTTTGAGAATAAAAAGTTCACGCTGCATTGTGTGAAAAAATGTAAAATGTTTCCCATAGAACATAAAAATCATCTTCATATCTACATTTTAAATAGTCCTAATTATGATCTCTTGCTTTCTAACGCTCATCCCCTCAGTTTCTCGCACAATTCACCCTCATTAAAATGAAACGCTTGGAGAAACTATGACGTCTGAGTCTGCATTGACTATGCTATATTTAAGCAGTCCATATTATACAATAAACCTATATAAAGAAGACTGACAGTCAGAACGTGGCCTAGAAATGCAAAGGATGAAGCAGCTCAGAAATGCATTTGATGCGCTACATGCTCCATGATCATCCCATCAACTCTGCTCAGTGTTGCAAGAGAGAGAGAGAGAGAGAGAAGGAGAGACAGAAGTAGAATAAATGGATTGCATTGACATGCAATATAGGATTTATGGAAAAGGCGACCATTCACTCATCTTCATTACATCTAAGGGGATGATTGTGAAATAACACACAATATTATAACCGGCGCAAAGACGGGGCAGGAACAAAATCCTTCTGTGACACTTGGGCGTCAGGATTCGTCACACCTCTTAGCCCACAAAAAGTGACACACAGAGTAAAAACATCCTCCCAAGGTTTCTTTGTCAGCTATATTATAAAAGTGAGGAGGGAAAATGACACACCACGCGAGCCACTGCCAGCTATTTCCTGTTGATGAGATGTTTCATGCTTCTTTAAGCACAGATTGCAAAATAAGAGTCACGTCTCGTCCTCCAGTGCTGAGGGAAATGATTGTGGCCTTGCAGGCAAAGCCGCCTCGGAGTATGGAATGAATGTGCCAGTGAAGCATGCCACATTAAGATGCTATGGACCAGGGCGCGCACTTATTCTGCTGCTGATAATGCCCTTTGGTGTAGTGGAGTCACAAGGAACTTAACACAGTGACAGCACACCATGACAGGCGGTTCAAACGCTGATAAGATGATAAATTTACCCCCAAGGAGAGAGGATCACCAACCTTGGAATCCTATTTTTAGAGCTCTTCTTTGCCTCGGCTTAATTTTTTAATAACAATCACTAATGTGACGAGAAGCGTCGACAGCCTTTGGCCTTGGACATCATCAAATAAAATTATAAAAGTATCAAACTAATAATGCTCATAAATGCATGCATAGTTCACCAGTGGATAAGGATGGCTCGCTAACGGTGCGGTGAGGCTTTTCAGAAAATTATTTAACAGCGGTAAGTCCAGGTCATTTGTTTTTAAATTGGTTTATATTGATTGATGAAATCCCATCAGACTTCACTCCAGGAGCCCCGGTGAGACCTTTTACTGAGTTCTGACAAACAGCTCCAAATCCCAGGATGGGGTAAGAGCTCATTTATAATTCAAAAGTGATCAAACGCTTGAAACGTGCCCGAATCCAACAACAAAGTCCGGTTAAAGACCAGAAAATTATCAGTTACTACCACTTTACAGCTGCAGGTAGAAGTGAACAAGAGAAAGAGAAAGGGAAAGGGTCAAAGAGGAGGAAAGCCGGTAATAAAAATAATGGTGTAAAGTGTGAAGACCCACCCCAATGAAAATCATGTTTTCTTGTTGTCTACGTGTTCATATGGCGTTTTTCTGAAGTGACAGGACTCCCTATCTCTCTGTGTATTTCTCCCCAACTCGGCAGTGGCAGATAGCTGTCAACATGAGTCTGGTCCTTCCCAAGGTTTCTGCCTGTTTTTCTTTGCCACTGTCACTCATGTTAGGAGCGTGGTCTCGACCTGCTCCTTTTTGGAAAGCGTCTTGAGATAACGACTGTTGTGATTTGGCGCTATATAAACAAAACTTGATTGATAGATCAGAAGAAAAGTAAGTGCAAAACTGCATTTCTGAGTATTTCTGTATTCAAATCTTTGTGAACCTCTGGCAGACCCAAACAGCAGCTTCAGATATAGTGAGATTTCTTATGTAGCAAATCCAAGCTCCGCCCCCAGAGCCCACTATGCAGGCCAGACTCGGAGAAGTAGAGAGGACGATCGCGGGACAAGCGTGTGCGTTAGTGGATTACAATGCTCGTAAGAAAGCTAATTATGATACTAACTGTCCTCATGTCCCCAAAGACATTAGTGTCTGAGAGTTGAATAGCTTCTATGTTACCTGCCACTTCTACAACACTGACAATGTTAGGCTACAAGCTAACATGAAGAGAAGTGTGCAGAGCAGCGCTGTCTCCGCCCACGACTCAGAGTCGAATTGCTAATGAGCTACTGAAGCTCTGCAGAAGAAAAACACTTAAAAATGACACAGGTAATGTGATTTTAGCTAAAAACTTCAAAAAAAAAAAAAAGGTCGGAGTGGGACTTTAAACTTAAAAAGAGAAGATGCTAAATTGATCAAACACACAGCAACATTAAGAGCTATTAGCTGAATAGGCTTTCATTCTTTTTCAACAAACTACTTTTAGTCATCTAATTGAAACAGGGTGAAAAATCACACAAGTCTCTGGTCTGAAAGCCTTCCTCATTCAAAGGTCTCAGTGTATTTATAAACCTAATTCAAAACCAGACATAAATCAACCATGACGTTTGCGTCACATCAAGGAATGACTGACTCATCCGCCCTTTTGTTGCCAGTTTTATCTAAACTTTACTTGCACTAAAACTTCTTATAAATTCGACTGACACTGGCTGTCTGGCTCCTTCCTAATTTACTTTTCAATTACCAGCGAGGGAAAAAGCCTCTTGGCTCTAAAGAGAAAACTCTGGTGTGATGTTCCCTTTGAGATTCATTTAGCAAAGGTTCAACCACCGCTAACATTGTCAGACACGCTGGTCAGTTGTTGTTGTTGAAGTGCCGCTGATTAAAACCACAAAAGGGAGCATAAATCCTGCACACCGGTACCTGCTCTTCCGTCTCACTTTTCCCAGACTGTATGTCCTTGTTTTTGAAGGATAAAAATAACATATCAGGCAGCTCCTTTGTTGTGACTCTTCTGGGGAACCAAACAAGCTTTATTTTTTGTGATGACTAAGATGTAGCTGAAGCCGGAGCTCTGCACCTTCAGCTTCACAACTTTTTGAAATTTATTTTTGGTTTTGTTGCCTTTTTCTCTTCCGTTCATACTTCTCCCCTAACAACTTGGGATTTGGGAGACTTTCGGAGGTACTTTTTGCAATGAAAACAGTTTTATCTTGGGTGTAAACATAGACTAGGATGACCATATTCTGACTTCCCAAAAAGAAGGACACGACTCTCGTACAAAGTTAATTTTGAGGAGGAGGCAGACAGCGTCCATTCTATATACAGTCTACGGTTGTACACAACGCAAATACATCAGATAAATTATCATATTTAGTTTTTGAATCAATAATAAAAAACTAAAGACTGAGATAGTTTCTACTGTACATTTGACCAAAATTCATCTTTTCCCTCCTGCTTATCATGGAAGAGGCGTTTTCATTTTGTTTGTTTGTTGACCTCCACTTTCTGTGAGACACGGGGGACGTTGTGTGTGTATGTGTGTGTGAGGCAACAGCGGGATAAAGTCGAAACAACATCGTTCATGTCGATACTCTCCCCTGTGTATTGGCCACAGACAATGAAAGGGTCGCATGGAGGGAGGGAAAAAGAGGGAGAGAGAACGGGGGATGGTGGACGGAGCTGTCTGTTTTGGAGCATTCAGGTCTCTGTGCTATTTGATGAAGATGAAGTGAAGTGTTAAAAATCAATAACCTGCTCGATACATCCTCAGAATGCTTTGACCACGGGGTCCCCAACCGCAGGACTCATTTGAGATGCGGGTTGAATATATCGAGACCTTCAAAGGCGTCGGTCAATTTCAGTGCTGCTCTGGCAACAGCCACCGAGATGACTGATAAAGCAGGGACAGACCTGATCTTAAAGGTAGAGTGAAGAAAATACAACTGTGATTGAATTAATACAACTGAGGATTTACACATAAAATGGCATCTATACATTTAAGCTCTATATCGCTGTTTCTCCAAAGGTATGACCCAAATGTGTTAAAATGAAAATCCGTTTTCACTCAAATCTGGACTCAGATCAGGATTTACATGTACAAATTAGGACCAAATGTTAAAATTCAACCAATCCTTAAAGGTATGGCCCCTTGATTGTGCCGATTGTTCCTGGTGAGTCTAAGTCCTGCTGTTGATCATGAATGCAGAGCCTTTTGGTGCCAGAAGAGCCAGGACTTGCTGAGCCAGATGACCTGGGTCACTCAAAAGAGACTGAGTTCTCATCCCTGTAGCAGCAGGAATTCTGAGGTTGTTAACGTCAGAAAGAAGGACGATCCAAGACCCTGGTCCTACATGGATGAACAAGATGGGGGTCTTGGGGACTGTTTTTGTTTCAGCAGGTGGGAGCAGATGGTCAGACTTTATTTTGAAAGGCTAAGTATCAACTTCCGACATAAAAAAATAAATAAAAATAAAACGTACCCTAATATATTTGCTTTTATTTCGGAAGGTGTCAAATCAACTTCCAATCCACTCAGTGGAGGTTTTCTACCAAAGGTCCTGTCTTGTTGTTATTGGACAAAGTGATATCTACTTTTATCTACTTGGACAAAAATCTCATCATTGTTAGTATTTGCTGTGTAAAAAGTCAAAAAGACATTTTTTGACCTGAACCAGCTTCCGTCTGTTTATCAAACAGTGGAAAACTCCTCACAGTGTTTCTAAGTTCACTCACAGCAGTGCCGCAGTGCTGAAGAGTAAAAAAAGAGCGTGCACTGGTACTAATCGAGTTAGATCTAGATCAAACATTTTAACTTTAACTTAAAAGATTAGTCGCTCAGTAACATTTTTATTTTTATCCGGGCCGGATTAGCTACACTTCATATATGCTTTTTTTCTGCTCACACTAAAAGCTTGTACAAAATTCAGACATGCCAAAAAAGGAAATCAGAAGACTCCTCAGGCTGAAAATCCAGACTCTACATTTTTGTGTAGAATCTGTCAACCAAATATGTTAAAGAAATAAAGCAGTGATTGTAATATTTTTAAAACAGAAGGTCAAAATAATTTCTCACAAACCGTGCAGCTGTCTTTTTGACAGGCAGGATATACGGCAGGAAAATGTATTTATATATATTGCACCAGATCAGAGATAAAGCATCATCACAGAACTACCGGGCCACGGTCAAATGAATATTGATCTAAATAGAGAGGACAAGATTTAAGCCCATAATGGCCTTATGTTATCATCAAGCTTAGATACACTCTGGAGACTTCTCTGATGTTGTATGAATGTAAATGTCAAGCATGTGTGAGCCAATCGAGTGTTTTATACATTTTAAAAGTGATGAAATGGAGGACCGACGCCAACATGTAGCGTCTGCTTCAGAGGAATAAAAGTCCCGGGACATTTGAAGAGGTCTGCTGAGAATCAGCTGCATGGAAAATTAGACCATATCTTTATATACAAGTGTATCTGATGGATGATAATTTTAATTGGTTACAGTTGGCTTTTTATCATTCTTCACTTCGCTGCATTCATCTCATCCAATTAACACTGTTAAGAGCTGATATCAAAAAAGCCGCCTCACTCCGTCATAGTCCATGTCCGTCAGCTCAAATAACAGAGATCATAAATTCGACTCACCTCATTTCAATTTTTAATGCAAGCCATGTATTTGAGTCATGATTGAGTGTAATGATTGAGTCATTAATTGATTCACCTGTTTTATGGGTTAGGTACACAGAAGGGGAAAACAACAAGGAAAAGATGGAAAGCTGTTTTAAGCGCTGTGAGGAGTTTGTAGTGTCTCCTATACAGACGCTTCTTGAGTACCAAGATAGAGTGAAAGAACAAGGGTACAGGGGTCCGTTTCACGTAGCAGGTTTAATGGAAACTCCGAGTTTGTTAACCCTGAAATCAGGGAAACTCTGAGTTTTCCGTTTCACAAAGGAGGGTTAGTTAAACCAGGGAGAGAGGGGTAACTCTAACCTGTTTCACAAAGAGAGGTAACTCAACCTCGCGGTCAGTTACCACAGTAACAGACTCCGTGAACCTAACCTGCTCGGGAGCAGGTTTAACTCAGTAAACCGAGAGTTTCAGGTGAAACATCGGCATTTTATCATTTTGATCAAGGTTTATATTGTCAAGTAAGTATTAAGTGGCAGTTTGATCCCTTAAAAAATGCTCTTTTCACACTCAAAACTGAATTTTACTCTCTTGTGATGTTCCGTTAAATGATTAGGAATATTAAACTAACACAAAAAACGGGTGGTGGTCCAGCAGCCCCACCTTTAAAGGAGGCAGAGGAGCTGCCCCCCAACCCCCCGTTCGACGATCGCGGCCGGTCCGATTGAATCTGCGCTCCACAGATGCTGGCTGTTTATGTCTGGCGTGCACGTGCTTAACTCCAGGTCAAACTACTCAGAGTTGTTAAAACCGTCTCAAATCAGGTGTTGTGAAACCGGAAACTCAGAGTTTCCTAACTCAGAGTAGATCAACTCAGAGTTAAGGATTTAACTCAGAGTTTGTTGAACCACCTACGTGAAACGGACCCCAGGTCTATCTTCAGTACTCACCCAGAAGTGGCTCTTAAAAAATCCACTTGTAAAGTCTGGCAGTGAGAAATTAAGTTGGCAAGTAGGGACAGCCACATAGTCAGAACTGATCCTCGAGCAGGATGACAAAAGTACAAACATTTTCTGCTGGAGTCGTACTCTGACACAAATTTGGCACACATGACACCTGGGCTGTGACCAGGAACGTTAGCCTGGTACTTTTGATCACTTTGTGTAAGCTAATTGTCTGTAATAAATCAGTGTCTACATTGTCCAATTGCTAACAAACAATACAGTAACACTTGTTATAAACCCACCTCATATAATGCATCATTAGTGAAGTAAGACTTTATATATCAAAGGCATAGTAACGACCGCAATACACAGCAATACACAGCAATACACAGCGGTCTACATCTCCACGCACAAACCTCAACCAAAACGCCACTCTATAGCCACAAATAATGCTCAGAACAGCACCTAACTTCATCAACAGTACATATAGGGTCCCAGACACAGTACTAGCCACCAAACATCTTTTTAACTTTGCCTGGTTTCCTTAGCAAAGAGACCAAACACAACTCACCCACTCTCCTCCAGCAGTTGCTTGTTTGTGGGGGAGCCCTGATGAGTCGATCACCGAGTGCAGTGGAGTTTCGCAGCTCAAGGAAGAACATCTATGATCATGACTTCATTGAAATGAAATCAGACCGAGACTCTAAGGCAGAAGAACCCCCGTGTCTGATTATTATTACTTCACTGAAATGATCCGCTGCACCCAGTGATCGACTGGTTAAGTGTTACCAATAATATATTACCTCTAAATCCTGCAAAAAGTTGTCTCTAAAGTTGTATCTAAAGAGTTCATCAGAATCAACTCAAACAAAATAAAAGTTTGTCTTTAATCCTTCAAAGTGTAAAAACTCCATCAACATGGTCCCAAGACAGTCTGACGGTTTTAGGTTTACTCACAGGGATACTCAGTTTCAGCATCACGTTGTTGTGGATGTTGTCAAATACTAAAAGACAAAAGAAACTCTGACATTTGTTTTTTTTCTTTGTTTGTCAGTTTGTATGATGTGACACACCACAGAGGATCAAACTAGTTATTGTTAATCCAAGATATCTTGTTTCCACATTTCTTCACACTCAAGTCAGCTGTTTGTGATTCCACAGTCTGGACTGGACTGATTTGAAGTGACAGTCTGTTTTTGCATGTTTAATTCTCTTAACTTAAAGATTAATGTTAAAGCACTACGAGGACGGAATGATTTCATTCATCTCCATATGGAAAGAAAATTAGTTTTACTGCATAATATATCACTCTTGACATGAAGTACACATTAGTCTTTACATTATTAGATGCATTACTGTTGTCAGATAATACAGTGGGATCCATTCAGATCAGTCAGCACTTAAGCTGCAGTTTCCTGGAATGATAATGAGATTATAACACTTAACATTGACTTAACGTTTATTGTTATTAATCACACTATTCGAATATGTAACACAGGTGTGCTAATTGATCTGAGTAGTGAAAAGAAACTGAAAGAAACAGGGCAGCTTTAGCCTGGAACCAGCAGGGAGAAGACATTTAAAAGTAAAGCAGCATTTGAATTTTTAAAGCAACTTAGCTGAGACTTTTACAGCTCTTAAAGTGCAAAATGACACCAATAAAAAGTGGACAAAGTACGAAAATATTTTACATCAACCCTTGGAGAATAAAAAGTTATGTTGAACCATTTCACAAGGTTAAAGTTGGAACCTCTGAAACGAAATGTCACCCTTGGACCAGAATTACTTATTCAAACCGTGATGTATGAGTCTGAGAGAGCCTTCAATTAATTTTCCATGCCAGGTAATGTGAAGGTGCCACAGCCTCGCTACATTAAGCAGAACTAAATGAAATAATGCAGACATCATGGTTCATTGCAACAACTAGGTTCCATATCACCTGCAATCTATTTTGGCTAATCAATCTGCCAGAGCCTCCGCAAGATTAATTTTCGTGGTTTGGATCTCCAACTACAACAATCCGACTCCTTCCACATTCATTCTACCAGAGCCTCCAACCCAAGCTACACAGCAGTAATAAGTCTTTGGAGTAATACCGAGCACACGGTATCATACTGTGGTTCTTACTGGACACTATTACCACCACATGCCACAGCTGTCATTAAAACAGAGAGGGTAATCTAGCTGTGTATGGCTTCCTTGTTTTGTTATTACAGACAGGCCTTTGTGGACCTAGATGACACGCTCTGTTGGTGTTAAACCTGATCAAACAAGGAAGTTACTAAACTTTACATGGCGATATATCCACACTGGATAAGTCTCTGGAGCCTTACTAGGAGGGCGACAGTTTGGGCCTCTCAAGCAGGCAGCAGCTGTAGATGGTATCCATGTGCAAAGAGTTTCAAAACGTTTCCTCAAAAACAAAAAATATGCAAAATGACAGTTTAGAAAAGCAGGAAACACAGGAATTCAGCTCCATTGCACATTTACTATCATTATCAAATGACAGAGAGACGAACTGAAAAAAATAACAATAATGCAGCATGCTTCTGAATGTTAAAGCTCCTGTATGAAACTTTCTGTTTGTGTGAATTTTGGCGCCCCCTGTGGACAATGACTTATTGCTTATCTTGTCCTCTACATGTTATAGTACTATCCTCTGATTAAAAAATGTAATCTATTGATGTTTGATAGTCAAATTTGACATGTATTGTGCATATTTTATGTAAGAACTTAAAAAAAGGGCTTTTTCTTCAGTTGCTCGACTGACACCAAACCCCACACCAGTTTCAGGCATAAAAAAATTAGGATATAAAAATTTTCAGTCTTGTTGCTGATGGTCTTGCTTGTTTTCGTACACCATAAAAAGGCATCTGTATAAATTTCAATTTATTTTATAACTGTACAAAACCTTCTCTCAGCAGTGTAAATAAACAGAAAATATTTTGTGTGTGTGTGTCGATTTTTGTTTAATAGCTAAGTGTAATTTCAGCCAAATTCTTCAACAGCCCTTTTTTTTTCCTACTGTGCAGCTCAACAAATATCATGAGTACTGTTTTTATATGAAATCATGGGGAGCTCCTACATAAACAAATGTTGGCTTTTTGAGGTGCATGAAGGTGGCCAAATGCCTTGCACCAACTCTTACAGCAAGTGATGTCAGCTCATTATTATTTACTGCCAACCATCAGTTGTGATAAAACTTGCCGAAGCCTCTCCAGGGATGATCTCGACTAACTAGGTGTGTTCCTCCTAACAGTGCAGCTGCTGAGTTTAAGTATGTCCAAATGAATCAGGCTAAGGTGCAAAATGCTCTCCGTTTCAGAGGAACTTCTCCAGAAAATGTGGGTGTAAAGATGACCTAAGATAAACTTCAGATCGGTTGTTTGAAAACAAAAATAAATAAGCTTTAGATTTGATCAAAGTGATAGATGTCTCTGAAAAGAGGGCAGCCAAGAAAAACCCTCTCCAGACACATCGGTCTTTGTTATTGTTGATCTTTATGTGTGTTTGGTTTTGTAACAGACATACATGAGGATCAATGTAAACCAATGAACGTCAGGTCCTGTAAAACCTTACAACACTTTTTCATCGAGGTTTGTGTCAGCCGAGTGTTTGTTAGAGTTCAAGTCTGATATATGGTCCATGGGCTTGGTATTGAATTTGTTTCTGCTCTCTGATAAATAAGTCAATGCGTCGTTCTTTTGCTGAATTATGATGAATTGGCCTTGAAACGTCAATAACAAACAAAGCGTTCATGAATGTCATGAAGTCAGAAAGCCTGAACAAAATTTAATCGTCCAATAAAATAATTACTTCATGTTAATCTGGTCCAAACACCGATCTTTTTCTCACAAGCTTGCATATCATCCCTGTATTTCTCTTATAACTACTTCAAACAGAACAAAGAAGGTTTATTTGATCACATAAATCTCTAT